CAATCAGGACTAGAGGAGTGATTCAGCCACCGCGCTGGCTTCTTGTCATCGAATGATTCGCCTGCAAAGCCGGACCCATCCAAATGTTTTTCGAACACACCTGGTGGAATTTGGAAGGTGGCACCCAGGTAATCAATCAATGAAGGATTTAGATCTTCCACAAATATCATTCTGAGATGACACCGAGCTGGAGTACGCCTCAACGTATTCCGGAAGTCCTCATATGTCGGTGCCGAACGCGAGTGTGCATCAGGCCAGAGAGCTTGGAGAGTAGAGGCACTAGGCTGCTGTGTCTCAAGTATGTCATATAACATGATGTGTGAACTCCAAATGTGCCGTGTAGTTACGGCACTAGCATGATGTAGATTCGAAAAGCGGTTGGCCGACGTGAGCAGACCCATGCGATAGATCTCTGCCTCATTGCTGTTCGTCGCCTGTTGCACCTCCTGTTGTTGCTGCTTTGGTTTTTTTCGGAGTTTCCCGCTTGACTCCAATGCTATTAAGACTGCTTTCCAGAGCTTGCTCAGCTCTGGTCGTCGCGGTGCATCGCCTTCGGGTCGCTGCCTGATTGGTTCACGCTCTGGTGAACGCGATTGCGGTGATCGATCCCTCGCGTTTCTGTACTTCACTTTCAGAGATTCTTCTCTTTTTATCGCTTCTTCTTCGGAGACTGCATCTGCTCGGAACTTTGCTCTCCCACGTTCGCGCATCCCCCCAGAAAAAGCTGCCCGTTCCGGTCGCACTATTGATTGTTCCACGGACTTGGGTTCGCTAGTCCGACATAGATCTCGGATGGACGGCTGATCTATTGAAGAGGAACGAGATGAGGGTAGAGCGATTGCGCTTGCGCTGGTCGTCCGGCACTCTGACGGTAATCGTCTGGGGTGGCGGGTCTGTAGATCATCTAGTGATGTGCGGGGTCTTGCCTGTTGTTGAAGGATGAGAGATGGTGTGGAACTCGTCAAGATCATACCGCGGTAATCTGCACTTGGAGTTCTAGAGTGTCCAGAACTGCAATCATCAATCGATCCGTCCTTGGTCTTGCAGTCTGCCCGTGGGTGAGCGTCATTTTGGCCATTGTCCTGCTGCAAATCCTCAAATGCTGGCCCATCGTCTCGCGTGTAACCCGGTGAATCTTTGGGACTGTATACACTTTCTTCCGAACTCCTTTCATGACCACATGTTGCTTGTTGGTCGTCCTCCATCTCTGCGCCTACGACCCACGCTCGTGTTCACCGGCAAGGCAACGTTGACCCCTGCAATTTTCTTGTTTGGCGCTCGCTAATGTGTCCAGGGTTTGTGTTCTGCGTTTCCGCGCATCAATGAGAAAGACGTTATATGCCCATTGTTGTATCGTGGTTCGTAGCTGTTAGTTTCAGGTGCGGCTGAAGAAGTGTAGGTCGGCGTTCTGCATGGATGCAGGTTGAGTTTGTGGTTGTATCACTGATGTGAGGCCGGAGGTAAGCCCGGTGACAGTCGGGCTGTCCAGCATCGAGGTAAGCGCCTGGTGGCACAGTCGTGCAGTGTGCGTGCAGCTACATGCATGCGACGTATCACACATACGCCAAAACGTCTGCGGGGCGGCTTAAAAATCAGTCGAGAGCCGCACTTCCCGCAAGGAAATTTACACCACATCAATTGGAACCTGCACATCCGCATATACTGTATGAAAGAAGTAATATCAGCTTGAAAGCCAGATATTCCATACTCCAGATGCGTGTTGTGAATCAGCTCTAAGCGCGTGATTCTTGAATACCGAGGTAGCGATGGCGAACCTACGCTTCGCAGTGTCTTTTCAAAGTCAGTCAATTCAAAATATAGTTCTATGTCTAAACTGACCATGTCAACAGGACTAATTCCGTTCTTCGGCTATCATCATATGTTGATGATTCTGCTGACTGTCGTGATTATACTGAATTGTAAGCTACTGATCTGAAGTTCGTGGATTAGTATCATACTTACTGTATCCATAGCAATATCTCTGGCTGGGTGCGCAAGCTATTCGACCATGACAAACATCTACGTCCTCGGTTTATCGTATACGAACTCGACTTCGAAACGCACTACTGAAGGTCATGATGTGTTGCTTGACACATTGAATGGTCTGAAAGGATCCGCCGAGCTTGAAGTCCGAGCGGGCTACTTTGGGATGTGCGTGCGCCAACGTGGTATCGTCTGGCTTTGTAGCTCCGACCATGATGGTCTGGCGCAGCAAATTGGGTACGAAAATGACCCGCTGAACTTGATAGGAGCTGCTGCAAAGTTCAAGAACGAAGTTCTCTTCTCTGGTCTTCTATTCATTGCTGTAGTCCTCGCATTTGTTACTATATTGCTTCTCGCAACATTTCCGGGGTGGCACGAAGAGCGAGATGAAAGAACTGGGTCTGACGTAGATGTAAGACCCTTTCCGTCGCGTCCCGTCTCACAAGTTGCGCTCGCAGCGAGTTTTGTTGCTGCAGCGCAGCTACTTATCGCGAGTTTGTGGCAGCATGTGGGATCTGTCGGTGCAGCTGCAATGGCAGAGTCAGCCAACTACGGGAATATCCGAACGGATATCGGAGTCAGCGCAATCACTATGGTCTGGGTTGCCTTTACGTTACAGATTACTGTCGCTATAGGTCTACTCGTTATGGTTCTTTCCATTGTCATATTAGATAGATTGACCGATAACGATTCGGATTAACGTTGCGCGCCAGGAACGTAGGAGAACAGGAGTAATGGTGACGAGAGTTCACGGTAGATGACCACGGGCCTCCTCAGATTCATGTGAAGCGAGATGACGTATGGGGGAAATAGATCCAATTGGAAGCAGGCCCGTGCTCAGTGCGCGCTCTCTGAGGCTACCTAGGTATTTCGAGGCCTCATCTTGACTGGATGCACCCACATTGTCGTATCTTCACCGGGAATCAGGATACGTTAATACTAGCAACGAACGCATGTGGAGATGACCTTAAGAAGCTCTGAGATGCACGTGGATCATTTCGATGACGTACATGGGTAGCTTCCTGGGCTTCTCGGTGGCCAAACTGGTTCCCCACCCCAACAAACAATACCATCGGCGACAACACCGACATTCTCGTCCCACAGCGGATGGATCGCGGATCATCTCCGTGGTAGGGAATATGCAGCGCGAAGATGTGGGCTTCTACCCCGCACATCTGGGGTAAAGCCGCAACTGGTATATCCGGATGCGTTGTTCCGCTATGGGATAACGAAGTAAGATGGATATTCTGAACTATATAACCATTGACCAAAGCTATACGGAAGGTGCAAGAACCTTTGCTCACAATAGACTACCTAGAGTTGCTCCGCTATCGTATACGAGAATATCACCATGGACAAGCCTATAGAACCCGAGAAGCAGGAACAGCTCGAAGATGTCGACATCGACACGGTCAAAAAACATGATGAGACGCTACAAGAGCATGGGGAGATAGACATCTATGACGAAAAGTACAATAAGAAACTCAACCGGCAACTAGACCTACGCGTTCTACCTCTATGTTGCTGGGTATATCTCTTGAATTTTCTTGATAGGGGTATGGTCTTCATCATCTCGTACCGTCTCAGCATCCGAGTCAATCGCTAAAATTGATGACAGGAAACATTGGAAATGCTCGCGTGCTCAACACAGAGACAGGAGACGACATGCTCAGTAATACGGGCCTGACGCCTCACGGCTACGCTCTGACCGTCACTCTCTTCTCCGTCGCGTATGCCGTGTTCGAAGTACCAAGCAATTTCGTCATGAAGCACTACATCCGACCTTCTAGATGGCTCGGCATTCTTCTTTTCGCTTGGGGGGCCTTAACGATTGGGTTTGCGGGTGTACAGAACAGTGCTACGATCATCGCTTTGAGGTTCTTGATCGGAGTCTTCGAAGCCGGTTTCTTTCCTGGTGTGTTACAATGAGACATGGAGGTTGATGAACTTGCGCTGATTACGTATTGTAGGAATTGTCTACTTCATCACAATCTGGTACCGCTATAACGAGCGGGCTGTTCGCATCGCTCTCGTCATCGCGTTCTGCAACCTTGCTGGTGCCTTCGGAGGCGCCATCGCATTTGGAGTCGGCCACATCAACGGAGCGGCAGGTCTTGAAGGATTCCGCTGGCTCTTCATCATCGAAGGAATTATCACCCTACTATCGGCGTTCCTTCTGTGGTTCTTCCTGCCCGACTACCCAGCTAGAGCGAAGTGGCTTAGCAACGCCGAAAAGAAATTCGCTATTGATCGTCTGGCTGACCGAGGCGGTGGATATAATCAGGAACATGCTAGCAAGAGAGAGATTTTGGACACCTGCTTCAGTCCACGCATGCTGCTACACTACATTGCGTATGTAGCCGACGTCGTTCCTCAGGGGTCATTCACGTTCTTTACGCCCACTATCGTTACCGGACTAGGCTACGAGTCCATTCATGCACAACTTTTGACTGTCCCACCATGGGTCGTGGGCTTCTTCGTAGCCATCACAATCTCTTACTCTGCGGACCACTTCAACGCTCGTGGGTGGCACATCACCATCACATCACTCATAGGAGGTACTGGCTGGCTGACCGCTGGCCTTCTTCCCGCCGACGCCTATGTTCAGCGCTACGGCTGCCTATGTATGGCCGCTGCAGGTGCCTTCCCTGCAGCACCTTCCATGACGAATTGGGTAACTTGCAACTCGCCGAGCTTCCTCACCTTGCCACTTGCAATCGCGCTGCACAACAGCTGCGCAGGTATTGGTCAGATCATTGCGCAATGGATTTGGATGAACGACGAGCGAAGTCAAGGCTTCCCGACAGGCAACTTCGTGTGTGCTGCATGTAGTTTCCTGGTGGCGGCAATCGCTACGACACTCAGGCTGTGGTATGGGAGGATGAACAAGCTTGAGAGGTCAGACAGTAGGGGCGATCAGAGGGTTTGGGCATTGTAGCGATATTAATTGGGTAGTATAACCCCTAATGCAAATGTCGCACTATGATATTAACAACAATTGACCGTCTATGTCCCTATTACTGTTTTACCAACCATCGTTTCAAGGCTTTTGTCATGACTTTATGCGTTCGGCTCGTCAGGTGCCCTGAATTGTACCAAAAGTACGTATCCAAGTCCGTGCATCCATATTGGCTTGGATTTGTCAGGATATCTGGCTGATTATATCCAGGGCAGTAGTCGGTGACGTTTTTGAACCCGTAGTCTTGGTAATGATCCAAAACGTAGTTCAAAACACTGTTCACGTCGAACTGAAGCACCTTCACGTCCTTATGATCGGACTGAAAGTCGTTGGCATGTGCAGCGTGAATCTTGTTGAAAGAAGCAACGAGCGACGCGTTGACATTGGGCGTGCCTGGCCCACGATCCAGAGGCGGTAGATTCATGAAGAGGAAGTTCTTGTAGCCAAGTTCATAGATCTTCTTTACATTCTCAAAGACTCGGTCCTGAATCTTCTCGTAGAGTGGTGCAAAAGAAGCGTTTTTGCCTTGGGTTGAGACAAGGTCATTGATGTCGTTGATGCCGATCCATATCGCTACGAGGGCTTTTTCCTTGTTGAGATGAATTGATTCGAGGGCTGGATTGCCGTAGGAGGCAAACTGTTCGATCTGACGCTCGAGTGAGACAGTATGGTTGTGATGAAGGGGTGTGAATCCAGCTTCCTCGATAGTGTTCGCGCCTGCGTATGCAAAGTCCCAGAGCTGCATATTGCACTCTCTTGGATTGTGCAAACCATCCTCGACACCACACCCAGTCAAAAGCTCCACCCAATTAGGGCCACCTTCTGCCGTTCCCGTAAGGTTCTGCACGATGCGATTCGAAAAGAGCTGTGCGGGCGTAAAAGAGAAGTTGAATTCATCGCCAATGGAGGTGTAGTTTTGGTGGCCGAGAGTACCCTGCACGTACGTGTAGCTATCCCCAAAGGCTATCAGAGATTCTGTGGAATGCCATTTAAAGGAACTTTGTTTCTGCTTCGAATGCGCGGGGGCAGCAATTGCATGCACAAAGAGTGTCAGGAAGACGCTTGAACTCGCGGTGAGCTTCATATCGGCAAAGCGGAAATCGTTTTCGAAGGCTTGATGATCCTCATAATGATCTCTAACAAGCTTGGCTACTATTTATATCGGTGTAGTCGGTATAGATGGATCTTCGGCAGCGTGGGTTTAACGGAACAATTACCCCCGACTGGTGGCGCTGCGGGAAATCTGGAGCTGGACTTTTCCGGGGTAGATGGACGATGATGCGGGGTATCCCAGTTACCCCGAGCCTCGTTCAGGCGTAGCATCGAGTAAGGACCACAAAGCAGCTTCCGAGTTTGCAGGCTCGTCCTTGGAGGAAATACAGTCGTGGTAATGTCGTACGCCTTTGTACTCGTACCACCATCGACCCGGATAATGACGCGTTGGATCTGCTTTTACAAAGCCCATATCTTGCAAAGTCCATATTGGGTCAACTTTGTTTTCTTTTTGTCCACAAGCAAGTAGACCAGTGACGAAAGGCTGCAACGATACAACATGAGCCAACGGGACACCCATTCTCAACGGTAAGTCCTGCCACCACCAATTCGAGGCGTCCATGCAGAAAAATGGACCAAGGATTCTGATGGCATCAAGGTAGACGTCTTCCTTGGTGTTCGAATAATCCACGATAGGCCGTAGCGTTTCAGAGATGAGGCCGAGCATACCGTATAGCTTGTCTCGAGGGTCTTCGCAGCCCATGCTAGAAAATTGACGTAGTAGATTGCACAGTAGATGCGAATACCCAGGTCGAACAGGCTCCGCGTGTGCATAACGATTAGAAAGTAAATACGTCATTGGCGACAGAGTTGGATGTTTCAGAAATCCAGCAAACAATGCGGCCTTGAAGAGGACATCCCAGTCGATCCAGACGTGACCGCACATGATATGTGCCTTTTTGGGTAACATTACTTCCTGCACGATCCATAGACGCGTGAAGTAACGGTTTCTCAAGATAGCCTCAGTGTTCTCGGCATTCCTGTTTTTGGAATACCTCCGCGCTGCTCTTAACGAAGACAGGTCTAACCAAACGATGACATAGATGCATTCGGAGTAAATCCGAGCCATTAGGCGAACTTGATGATTGCGTTCTGCCGTGTCCTGTTGGTTGATACATATCTGAGTGATGAGATTAGTCCATGCATGCATAGCCAAGTAGATGTAGGACCTACCTGATCGATCCAGAGGTACTGGGTATTGGCTTCGTCTGAGCGAAAGGCGGAAAGGAAATCGAACAAGTTTATTCTAACAGCGAGCAGCTTGTTATCGATAACGATATACCTATTATCTGATGGTCCACCCCAAGTGTATGACAGAGCGATGAACTCGGGTGCAGTGTTGATGTCGAATATCTCAAGTTCGCAGTAAATGAAGTCGCGTTTGTATAGCGTATCGGCCACAGGTTGAGATCGCAACAATCTTGCGAGACGGATCTGCTGCTTTGATCCGTCCAGTTCTCTATACCTGTAGAAGTCCGATGTCCGCGGCATTCTCGCTGCGTTGCCGACTGAGTTGTCGGGCTTGTCCACCTCATCAATCAAAGACTGAATGGTATGCTCCGGTACCAAGATAAGCCTAGAGTTGAGCTCAAATTGGATCTAGCGCCTCGTAGAAAATAAGGTAACGAAGCGCAAAGCGATTGAGTGAAGTCGTGTATGAAGGCAAAAGCGAACGAAGGAAGGACTGAGCCGTTTAGCACAGCCCCACCTCAGCCGCAGACTAGTTTCTAGGGCTCTTTTCTCTACTCAACCGACTTACGGGAGAAACGTATATGAGCGCATTGCCCAACGATTGCCTTAGCAATAGAGCTTGTTATCTAAAATGGTATCAATGCTACAAGATACAATGATGGTACAAAAGAAGCGGCACAGCCTTACTCTTCGAAAAAGTCACCCCAGCTAAACCCACCACCATCACCACCGTCTCCAGCATCGCCACCACCCTGTCCACCCTGTCCACCCCAGAAGTCCTGATCTTGACCCCGAGATCCGACGCCAGGATCTTCGCACCAGACATCTTCACCGACTTGGCCTGTGCCTGGCTGTTGATCGGGGTTGGGCTGATACGGATCGGTCGCTTGTGGGGAAGCATCGTCTTCTTGTTGCCTGGCTTCTCGCCCTCTTTGCATAGCTTCGTAGCCCGCCATTGTAGCTGCACCTGTCGCAGCACCCTCTCCAGCTCCCAGTCCGCGCGCTGCAGTGCCCACCTCACCTGCAATACCGCTTTCGCCAGCAGCACCTACGGCCCCAGCACCGGCAGCACCCGCTTCACCAGCTGCAGCACCTCCCGCGGCTTCACCACTGCCACCTACCCATGGCATCCACATTGGCCACATGCCACCAGAACCACTATGTCGACTGAAATAGTCAAAGTCGATGCTAACAGCCGTAGCAAGCATTACGGCGCGTTGATCAAGGGTCATGCCAGGGTAGTCTTCTAGTGATGGTCGGCTCTGCTCACCAGTTTTGGAAACCATGCCTGACGGCTCACTTGCCAGCCCGGCAGCGTCCATTCTCAACGCATAAACACCCGTATCAGTGAATATTTCGCGCGCGAAGCCTCCGAAGTTGCGGTTAACAGAACCCGCTAGCCGCCCGTCTTCAGACATCAAGCTGAAGTCCCAGGACAAAAAGGGTTCGTCAACCCTGGCAAACTGGAGCATGCCCACTTCTCGGGTATCGCCTTCTGCTACTGCCACGGCTTTAGAGTCTGAGATTGGCAGGTCACCAGAGGACAGTTGGGGCGCGTCTGGTCCTGCGGCGGCGTCCTCGAGATTCCTTGCGAGATACAGGTTGTACTTCCTTCGTAATGGTGCCCACTCCTGTTCCGAAGCTCCGATAATCCTCATGTCTTGGAGTGCCAAAGTTGAGACATTTGCGCTCGTTTGGTTGGCTATGCTTTTGACACTCGTGCCTTGCAGACTTGCCGAGCTGGTATAGGTGCTCTCATCGGGCCCTACCGCATCATACACGCGTATTCTCGAGTTGATCCAGCTGAAAGGTCTATGAAACCTTAGTATTTCCTTTTCGTCCCGGTCAAAGACGTGAGTCGTGAAGCTGCGGTGCGTCTTGAACATCTGTCTCGCCATGGCGTTCCCTATGCCATGGTCTTGCTCGGCGAGATATCCAATATGATTACCGTGCGGGTCCATGATAACGTAGCGGTTCGCTTGCTCGAAGCCCATGAGCACGTTCATCATTTCCAGCTGCCGTTGTACTATAAGAGACGAGTTGTCTAGAAGACGCATGGCGGGGTGTGTCTGCTTTAGGACGGCGTTTGGGTCTTCGGGCATGTATACGGGCGTTACGAGGTTGTTCTCGGAGTCGGGCGTGGTCGAGAGGGCGTTGGACACGGCGTCCACTTTCGATGTCTCTTTGGGGGCCCCATCATGTGTGTTTGATGAGGAATCGTTGCTAGGTGGTCTCGTAGAATATGCTGAGGTCGTTGGCGGCGTCGTGTTGCGCGGTAGGCGACTGCGAAGGGCTAGCCGTGGTATGCTTTTCGTGGTGATTGATCGAGCGCTCTGGCGTGGCAGTCGTAAAGACCATCTTGCCGCTGGCAGCATCTTGAAAGCTGTTCTGTATATATCTAGAGTTGCTGTATGTTTGGAGTAAGTCTCTGATCAGGCAGGTAGCATTCGTGTAAGAGGTGCAGATGCCTAATCGCTTTCGCGTGGCGTCACGAAGACGTTCTTTACTTTGTCGGAGGTAGCTGCTCTTATTACGTCACAACAGGCGTTCCTAAGGCACGCACAAGCCCCAACCGCAGTCTGCGGGTATCGTGAAGCATATACTGTGTGCGACTGTCAATGACCGCTATGCGCATTCAAAAGCCAGTGGTCCGGTGGCTGTCGTGTGTTCGGAACTGGACTGCTGCGCGGTCGGCCAAGACGGCCAATCAAATCCGGCCTTGGCAAACAGTCATCTCCAAACTTTTTGTGCTCTCCTCTCACCTTCAGCACCACCTCCACCATGAAGCTCGCAACGCTCGTCGACGACGCCATTACCTGAAGTCGCAAAGGCCGGGTAAGTACCATTCATTCCCATTCACATGTTTCACTGTCTTATGATGACAACTTTTCACTTATACGATTGCCGGCGCATGCATTCACTTGACTGCGTTTGGCTCTCGATGCTGTTTCCGTTACAATAGACTACAACGGTATCTGATCGACATTACTTGCTACACTTCACATTGCCTCAAAACCCGCGCAGGACTAACGCGAGTACAGTTTCGTCGAACATCGAGCTGGACTGAGGCATGTCTTCAACTCAGCAGCCTGAGCATGCTGTTGCTGCACGCGAGGAGCGCCCAGAGGGTCTACCTCAGCCGAACCAAGAACCAGCCAACGGTGTTTCGAGGAAACCTCGCCCAAAAAGACCCAACTATAACGAAATACATGCGAAGCCTCTGCCATTAGACGTATACGCGCTGCCTGCCTTCATTCCGCACAACCCCATTTCTATCGTGCGACTAGTCATCAGCTTGATTTCGCAGTCGCTGTGGTCGCCCAAGTCACACATCGTCATCCACAGAGCATACTACTCTGCAGAAACCCAGTCAATCCACGTCACCGATCCAGCCTCCATCCGAGCGCTTTGGGAACAAGGCTTCTGGGGCAAAGGGTCTCTCAGCCGAAGTGAACCACAATGGTTAGTCGCTGAAAAGCGAAGGCGAGGTGCCCAGGCGTCCAAGACAAGCACCGAGGTTACACAATCAAGGCGGGAAGAGCGCAGACAATTCAAGTTAGAGAGAGCCAAGGCGCAGCGCGAGGCTATTGAGCAACAGCTACGGCAAGAAGGCAAGATCGTATCCGACGCCAACATCAACAAGCTCGTAGGTAGCGACGCCAAGGACATCACCAAGCCAGAAGATGCAACAGCCACTCCGGCGATCAATGAAAACACAGATGGCCCTGCCGCACCGGCCGACGCTGAAGCTGATCTAGAGGTTGACATTGTGGATCTTGAGCATCTTCAGCTCACACCCGAGGAGGCTTTCTTCCTGACATACGTCCTTGGTGCTTTGCA